GGGGTGATGCCGAGAGCGGCGCCCGGGCCCTGTCCGCGCTGCCCTGGAACTCCCCGCGCCCCCCGGACCCCCTCAGCCGCCATTAAACGCCCCCATCCCCTCACCTCCGGCCACAGCCATTGGGCGGGGCTGCCGGCCAGCGGCCAATGGGAACGGAGAGGGGGCGGGCGAAGAGACGCGATTGGCCGAGGCGGAGGAAAGGGGCGGGACTGAGGCGGGATGGAGAAGGAATGCGTAGTCCGCGGCGGGGGCGGGGCTTAGCAGGAGCCAACCAATGGGACGCGAGTATTCAGATGGGAGCGGCTTTAGGGCGGGAAAAGGGGCGGGGCCTGACCCACGTGGGCGGGGCCTTCATGGGGTTTTTGGGGGGGAAAATGGGGATTTTGGGGACCTGAGAAGGGGACTGGAGCTACTGGGGAGCTATGAGTGAGGGGAGCCGTGAGGAAGATGGGGGCGTCATAGCTCTATGGGGGGGTAGGTTGAGGAGGGGGTACTATGGGGCAGGGGGCACATGGGATTATTTGGGGCCATGGGAAAGAGTGGAGCTATTAGGGGGTTCTGGGGCATGGGGCGAGCCGTAAGGAAGGGGGGGAACCATGGGGCTACTAGAGGGGCTGTAGCATGGAGGAGAGCAGTGCGGCAGTGGGAAAGCTGTGGGGCTGTTGGGGGGCCATGGGGCTATAGGAAAATGTGGGGCTGCGGGCCAGGAGGCGCCATGGGCCAGGAGACGCCATGGGCCAGGCTCCGGCAGCGGCGTAGAAGAAGTCACACGTTCCCAGACCCGAGTGGGGGTTTATTGGTGGGTCCCGGCCCCATGGGGACGGTGCCTGCTCCCACTCCACCCCCACAGAGCCCAGCCTGCAGCTGGGGGCCACCCAAGAGCACCCATGGCCATGCTGGGGTCCCCAAAGTACCCCCAGCTCAGTCCCAGGGTGTCCCACACCCTTGTCCAGCTCGGAAGAGTGAGGGGCCGTGCCCCTCTACCTGCCCTGGCACACCATGGACTGCAAGAGGGACATTGTCACCTGCTGGAAGCCCTGGCCCTTGTGGCCATTTCAGACTGTGTCCCCCGAGGCACCAGGACAGCGCAGGCCCCGCAGGGAGGGGGGCAGAGCCCCCGCAGCCCCCGGGGCCCGACAGCAGCTACATGTTGAGGAAGGCGAAGGCCGATGGCTGCAGGGTGCCCTCCGTGTCCGTGCCCCCGTCCTGGGGCCGGGATGGCGTCCGTGGCTCCGCCGGCGGCGAGTGCGGCCGGAGCACCGCGCCAGGACGCGCCACCAGCTCCATGCCGGCGAACAGGGACAGGCCGGGGGCCGCCGTGTCCCCTGCCAGCCCGCTCCCCCCGTGCTGCTCGCAGGGACAGGCTGGCACCGCGGCCCCGGGCTGCCCGGGGGGCTCCGATGCCACCCCCGGCTCCTCGGCGGGGGCTGCGGGCGCCGGGGCCGGGCTCAGGGGGGTCAGGAAGCTCTCGCTGGCCACGGCCGGGATGTCCATGAGCAGGTCTGTGGCCAAGCCCGCCGAGGGGGCCGAGGGCGACCGTGGGGCCTTCGGGGAGGGCTGGGCCCGGCACAGGGCCTCGAACTGCCGCAGCATCTGGGACAGGGGGTAGGCACAGTGAGAGCGGCATCAGCAAAGGGGTTTGGCCCTGGCACCTTTGCCCAGGCACAGGGACGGTCCCCGGGGTCCCCTCCCAGGGCTCAGAGGGAGCATCACCCCGCCCTGGGGAAGGCAGCCAAACCACCCCTCTGGCACATACAGAGAGCCACTCCCAAGGGCTGTGTGTCCCCAAGGGCTGGCAAACCTGCGCCAGGAGCCCCTACCCTGCGCACAGGGATGTCCCCAGAGTCACCTTTGTTGCTCGGTTGGCCACAGGCCCAGGGCTGCCTTGGCTGAGGTGCTGCAGGCGCTGCCGGGTCACGGCAAAGATCTGCTCTGGGGAGAGCAGGTCGGAGCAGCCGAGGGCAGAGATGGCACACATGGACCTCTGTGGGAAAGGGGAGCTGAGCCTGGCAGGCCCCCAAACACCCCCCAACCCTCCCAGGGGAGCCCCCTGTGCTCACCATGCGGACGCCGTCACTGGGATCCTCCAGCGCCCGGCCCAGCAGCTCCAGCACCACCTCACAGTTGAGGAGCCCACACCTGCACAGGGGTGGGGGTCACAGGCACCTGCAGCACCTTCCCATCCTCAGAGTCCAGGCCCAGGCAGCCAGGGAAGGGCTCAGGTTGCCCCAGAAGCCCCCAGAGCCCCAGGGAACACCCCTCTCTGACACTTACTCCTTGAGGAAGTGCTGAGCTTCCTCCCTGGTGAGGAAGACCCTGGCCCCACGCGTCAGTCCCGACACCAGGCTCAGCTCCCTCCGGCAGTCACCCGGGCTGTCAGCGTCCACCCTGCTGGGGACACAGCCCATGGGGACAGGAGCCACCTGCTTACTGCTCCTGGGGTCCCTCCCTGCACACCCCCTGGCAGACAGGGACCCCCACCCTGAGCAGCTCTGCCCACCCACAGCCGGCAGGACGAGCCCCAGGCGGAACACAGCCAGCAGTGCTGGGGCACTCTGGGTCCATGGTGTGGGAAACGAGGGCAGCACACCTGGGACAGTCCCAGGGCAGGGGAGCCCCGGGCCCCTCTCACCTGTCGGCCCCGTGGCTCAGCTCCCGGCTGGCCCCGGAGCGGCTGTCGCTGCCGGATTTGCTGCCCGAGTCCGAGGCGCGGCTCCGCTCGTTGCCCTGCGAGGATTCCCGGGAGCTGTGCCCGCTGTCTACCTCCTCCCAGCCGCCCCCGGCCAGCCCCGGCTGGTGGCTCACTGCAGGGACAGTGTGGCTGAGCTGGGGTCCCCACAGCCCCCAGGACGGGTGGGGACCCCAGAGCCCCCCGGCTGCTCCGGCAGGACCCACCTCGGGACGCACGCGGCGCGGGAGGAGTCGGGGGCGGCACGGCCGGGCTGCTGGCAGGGGATGGAGCTCGGATGGGCTCGTAGGTGTCCTCGGGGAGGTCCCCACGGAGCCGCCGGGGCCCCCCCGGCACCGGGAGCACGGCCTGGGCCACGGCCTCGGCCGCCCGCTGGAGGCTGCTCAGCAGGGCCTCTCCTGTGGACGCTGCCAGAGGCTGGGATGTTGGGAGAACCCCGGAGCCCAGCCCCGAGGGATCACCCCAACACCGAGCTCCAGGCTGGGAAAGGGGCGTGAGGGAACTCTGGGAGCTCAGAGCACGAGGCACAGAGTGACCCCATGGCCCTGCCCCAGCTCCCAGCAGGACAGGACCCAGTGAGGGCCCGGCCAGGACTCACCAGAGCCGCTCTTGTCACTGCTGAAGCCAAATCCCTGCATGGAGCCACAGGGGCTGGGGCTGGAGCCCATCCCTGGGGAGGCACAGGGAATGTCAGGAGGGGCAGAGGCACTCAGGGTTCCCCTGTCCTGCTGTGTCTCTGCCCCCCTGTCCCGGGAGGGCTGTGCTCACCGGCGGGGGCCAGGGGCCGGGCGGGCAGTGCCAGGGGCTGCGGCAGCGGCGCATCCGAGAACAGAATGCTGGCCAGGTCCTGTGGGATTGAGAGACACAGAGACAGAGAGGAGTGGTGGCAGTGCTGGGAACCCCAGAGTCCCCAGAGCAAGGGGCTGGGGGCTCCCTCCAGCACCCACCTGTGCGGCCGCCCGCACCTTCTGGTTCAAGCTGTTGCCGTGGAGGGGGTCTGGGGGCCCGGAGAACACTGCAGACACACAGAAGGGAGGGTGGGGGACGCTCCCAGGTGGGGTAGGACCCCGCTCCTGGCACAGCCCCGGCAGCAGGAGCCCTTCTGGGGTCTCCAGCCCCCCATGGAGCTGTTGCTGCTCTGCCATGTCCCCCTGGCTGTTACCCGCAGCCTCCCGGATGAAGCTGGCGTTCCTCTTCAGCTGCAGGACAAACTGGGGGGAGCCCTGAGAGCAGGTGTGCAGCAGGATCTTCAGCACCTGGCTCGGGGGACAAGGACAAGTCACAGCTACCCTCCCTGGAGCAGGGGGGCTCCATCCCATCACCCCCCAGTGCTCCCAGCACGGACCCACCTTCAACTTGACGTGGCAGGAGCTGCTCTGCAGCCGCGTGAGGAGATGCTCCAGCAGGCACTGGCTGCTCCCGGGGGACTCGTGGGAGATCTCTAGGGATGGGTTAGGGATCCAGCCGGGACAGGAGGATGGCAGCAGCTCCCAAGTGCCAGGAATTCAGCCCCTCCGCAGGGTCCCAGCCAGGGCCCAGAGTCCCACGGCTGCCCCCAGCCAGCCCCGCAGGCCTCCAAAGCCCACCAGGGCCTGGAGCAGCCCCGGGGAGCTCCCCCTGTCCCGGGTCCCCTCCCTGTCGCGGGGAACCCCCTGCCCCGTGCCCCCGGCTCCCTGAAGGATACTGGCGATCTCCTCCAACAGGTACCCGGGGCACGGGGTGTCGTCGTCGGCCGTGCCCCGCAGCAACACCGGCAGCTGGAGGAGGAGGGGGCGGCGTGAGAGGGGCGGACCCGCCCCGGCCCCGGTGCTGGGGACCGGACCGAGGTCCCGGGGCAGGCCCGGCCCGGCCGGGGCTGTGCGAGACCGCTGCAGAAGCGAGTGGGGGGACGGGGGGGGGGGGGTGTACAGCGGTGACGTCGCCGGTAAGCAGTGACGTCACGCCCCGGCAGCCCCCCCCCATCCCACCTCCCAAAAGCCCCGGTCCGTACCCGGCTCAAGAAACTCAGCCGGTCCCGCAGCGGCGCCGCCATGACACTGCCGGCACAGGCCCTGCCCGGTCCCTCCGCGGCGTCAGGGAACCGCCCCCCAGAAGTTGTTTTCCACCAATGAGAGGGCGAAGCTCTGCTGCTCAACCAATCATCGGAGAGAGAAGGCGGGACTCCAGGCGGAAGCGCCCCATGAAGTTGACGCCTGAAGGAGGCGGAAAGTAAACAACCGGCATTTCCACCAATCAAAGCCGCCCGCGCTGAATACCCAATCAGAAGGGGCGTGGTTTGCCGTGGTTCCACCCAATAGGAGAGCGCGGCGTGTGACAAGCGGGGCGGGCAGCCAATCGCGGCCGGCCGGGCATGGCGGCGCCCGTGCGGTGAGGCGATGTCGGGGCGCGGAGTGTGGCTGCGGGCGCGGGCGCGGCTGCGGCGCTTCCCGGCGGCGCTGGCGGCCTGCGGGGACCAGGTGAGGCCGGGGGGCACCGGGGGGCACCGGGGGGCACCGGGGGGCGGCTCGGGGCCGGCGGGTCCGGTGGCCCCCGCGGCCCCCGCTCCCGTCCCGTGTGATTCCCGCAGGCCGCGGCCTACGGGCGGTGCGTGGCGGCGGCGGCGGCGGGGCCGGCGGAGCTGCGGCGGGACGCGTGCCTGGCGGAGTTCCAGGCGCTGCGGGAGTGCTTCGCCCGGGCGGTACGGCCCCGTCCCAGGCCCCGTGCCAGATCCGCTCCCGCTGCCGGCGGAGGGAAGCGGCCTCGGCCCGTCCTGACCGCGGCTCTTTGCAGGCAAAGGCGACGCCGAAGTGACCCCGGGGCCGCCCCCGGCTGGAGGTGCTCGTGGGAGGAAAACCCTCAAACCACCGATTTGTTCTCAAATGACGGAACCCGGTCCCGGTGCTGCCCACCCGCTCCCCGGCCCGGAGGAGGTGCAGCCTCGTGAAGGTCACAGGTCTATTTTTATTTATTAAAACAAGAATTCAGATCAGAATGCTTCAGCTTATTTTATTGATGGGCTCAGCCGCGCTCCGGGCTCTCCGTGCCAGCGTTCCACCCGCCCCGGCGGGACGAGGCGGCTCCCGGCAGCTTCCAGCCCAGCTCGGGGTGCCCGGGCCATTCCCAGGAGCAGGAATGTCAGGGGCATCTTTGGTCCCTTCCGTTCACACAGAGAACAAACAGGCGGCTGTGGCCCCGCGGGGCGGGCAGCACAGGGCACGAAGGAGCCGAGCCGGCTCCTGCCACCTCGGCAAGGCTGCTGGGTGCCACAGCCCGGATCCCTCTCCCCGGGGCAGCCCGGAGCCGTGCTCCAGAGCCCATCCCTGCCTCTCGGAGCGGCTCTGGGGCTCCGTGCTTGTGCTTGACGACAGCATTAATGGAGAAGCTCGTTGGGTTCAGGGGGTGTAAGGCCACAGTGTTCCGGGCGGTCTTCCCAAAGGACTCCCGAGGTCGCTTCCCTGTCGCTCTGGGTTGTGACACCCCGGGAGCACCAGGCAGGGACAGTCCCGCCCCGTCCCAGCTCTGCAGGGTCCCACTGGATACAGACTCGAGGTCGCCAAAGACATTTGGAGGTCGGGATATAAAACCCACCACAGTGATGAGGTCTGAGGGCTCCAGGCTGGGAATTCTCAGCCGGTGTAGGGAGAACTTTGGGATTTAATTCTGTACATTCGCAGGTCTGGGTGTAAAAACACAAAACCCAAAAAAACCCAAGGGATGAATCACTGGGACCCTGAAACAGCACAGAGCTCTTGGGGAAGCTCTTCCCTTCCTCACTCACCAAACAAATTCCCAGAGGTGGAGCAGGGACCTGTCTGGATGCAGAACAGGGCTGGGGCAGGCTGGGAAGAGCACAAGGAACACAGGAAGAGGTAGGTGGAGCCCCTGGCTCCACCTGGCTCTGCCATGCTTTCTCCCAAACTACTCATCTCTGGCAGAAGGATCAAGCTGGATTGGGAAGGGTTGGGGGGAAGTTGAGCTTCTTAATGCACTTTTGAGAGGGGAAGTGGAGCTGGAGAGCACGGAGAGGAGCACCCAGGGAGGGTGGCTGGGGCAGAGCTCCGTGTGATCCCAGTGGGTGGCCAAGCAATCCCATCCCTGGGAGAGAGGCAGCACAACAGGAGTTGTGCCCAGTTAAGGCAGCGTTTCTACTAAATGAGGTTCCTAAACCACCACTGTGTCCCAAACAAATGAGGCTCTGCTCCCGATCCAGCACTGGAGCACTGGCTCTGCTGGTCCTCAGCTCACGGCTTCTCTGGGGTAAAGCCCTTCCCGAGGTGCGGATCCCAAGTCCCCTCGGCACAGCCGGGGCCACGGAGCCCCTTCCTGGTTCTGAGAGGAGCTGGGAGATGGTTGGCGAAGGCAATCTGATGTGAATGAGATGCTGGAAAAGGTCCTTGGAGCAGCGGCCTGGCAGGGAGCCGAGGCGGATGGCAGCTCTGGAAGGCAGGGGACAGCAGGAATGTCACTTCCAGTGCCGCCATCTCCTTGGCCACCCGCAGGCACACGCAGGGGGTGCTGCTGGAAGCCCCCAGGGATGCATGGAGATCCTGTGGATCCGAGCACTGCGTCCAGCAAAGTGGCTTAGATCTCTCCAGCCCGGTGAGGCCGAGCCTTCCCTGCAGAGCACGGCCACAGCCCCGTCACGGGCTCCTGTCCTGTGTCACCTGCTGGATGTGGCGGCTGCGCACCAGGTGCTGCGCGCCCTCGGCCACCCGGCTCAGCCGCGTCTCCAGCGCGCTCCGCAGGTCGTTCACCTTCACGTCGGGAAGGGGGTTCAGGCCGATCAGGACCCCCCCGGCTCCTGCTGCGGCTGCCTCCTCCTCCAGATCCTCCTCCCCGTCCTCCTCCTGGTCGGGGGGCAGCAGGTCCCGTCTCCTGCGGCGCAGGTCCAGGCCCCCCTGCAGCTTCAGGTCCCGGTTGGGTTTGACGTCGCGCTCCGGCTGCTGCGGATCCCTGGGGGCGGCCGCTCCGTTCTCAGGCTTCCCTGCTGGAGCATCCTGAGGGCCGGCTTTCCTGTCGGCACCGTTGGAGGGACCCCCACCCCCACGGCCCTGCCGGCCCCCCGGCTCCTCCCGGGGATCCTCCTCCTTCCTGTGCCCGAGGCCAGGCGGGTCCCGCTGCTGCCCGCCCGCTCCCGCTCCTCTCTGCCACTCCCTCTCCCGGGGGTGCTGCTCCCTCACTGCCACATTCCTGTTACTGGAAGAGTCCGGCACCACTGCCAGATCCTTGGGCTCCACCTGACTCAGAGTTTTGGCTTTAAGGGCTGTTGCTGAGTCTCTTTCCAAACTCTTTCCTGCTACTCCCTGAACTTTGGCAGCCCCCGGCTGTTCTCTTTGGATGGGAGCTGTAGCTACTTCCACGGCTTTCAGGAAATTCTTCTGGTGGACATCTCTTCCAGCTTTGGCTTCCCGTTCTCCTCCCAAATCCTCCGCCAAGGCCTTTTTCTCCAGGTGGTTTCTGGCTGCTGGAACACGCTGGGCATCCCCGTGGAGGGGATCCCGGTTCTCCATGGGATTCTTAACAGCTCTGTCATCCTCTTGCAGCGGCACCTTCCACTCCTTGGGAGCAGCCACAGGAATGTCATGCCTCTGCCCGGCCTCTTCCAGCTTCCCCACGATGTGGCTGTGCTGCTTGGTGGCATCGGGGGGCGGCTGGCCCGGGTGCTGCGCGAGCTGCTCCTTGCTCAGAGCCTTCCCGGCCGTGTCTCCCTTGGCTCCGAGGCCCTCGTCCTCCCTGCTCCTGGAGAGGGGCACGGCAGGCTCCAGCTGCGCTTCTGCTGCAGAACAAAACCCACATGGGAAGAGCTTTCATCAGGACATTCCCTTCTCCTGCCACCACATTCTGTGAGACACGAGATGAGGCCGCACGGGAGGAAGAGCAGAGCTGTGGGTTATCCCTACAGAAATGGCAGCGCAAGTGGACTTTGCCACGTGCCAAAGGAGCTCAGATTTCTCCCAGTTTGGTTTTAGAGCCCCTCTAAGCTGTGAGCACCCTCTGGAGGGATCCTGCTCCCTGGCCACGTCCTTACCTGGCTTTGGCTTCTCCTCTGCCCCCTCCTCCTGCCGCTGCTGGTGGATCTCCTTGTGCTGCTCCTCGATCACTGCCAGCAGCTTTGCCTGCTGGTCCAGGAGCTGCTTCTGCTGCACCTGCTGCTCCTTGATCACCTGCAGCAGCACGTTGTGGTCCAGCAGTTTTGCTGGCTCTGCTTCTGGAAAAGGGGAAAAAGAGGAAATAAAACCCCTGTGACCCAAAGCCCTCAGAAATCATGTCAGCTCTGGATGGGCTGCAAGGACTCTCCTTGGCAGGAAGATCCAACTCCACAAACCTTGCCAGGAAAGGGAGAAGGAAGCTGGAAGAGGATGGGATGAGAGCAAGGGACCTGCACACAAGTCCAAGCTCAGGCTCCAACCCTCCCTTGCCAGGCAGAGGTTGGAGGGAGGAGCTCAGCCTGGGGAAGGGCTTTGCAGCTCCAGCTCTGATGCCCCAGGGACAGAGCAGCCAGAACCTTGAGGGGAAGGAGCTTTTCCCTGTGATGTGTTCAGGTGTCCCTGTGTGCCCCTGCCCACGCCCTCCTGCCGTGCTGCTGGAGCAGTTTCACTCCTGTCTCTCTCTTCCCAGGGCTCTGACACCAGGGAGCAGCCAGGCCTGGGTGCCAGCATGGCTCAGGTCCCCAAGCAGCCCTGCCAGGTGTGCCAGAGATGGGACAGGCACCACCTGATGCTATGCAGGGGCCGTGGCCTCTCCCACAGAGAGGGATCTGGGGAGATCCAGGCCCATCCCCGCGTGCCCCGGGAGCACACACTCACCCCCTGCCTTCTCCTGTTTCTCCTCAGTGTTCTGGTTCTCCAGCAGTTCTGCTCTCTCTGGGAGGGGCAGCTCCTGCTTTTCACCTGCAAAGGACAACAGAGCTTTGCTGTCAGTGCAGATGTTCCCTAAAACGCCTCCACGCCGTCCCGGCACCGTTTGTATCCAACCCGAGGGCTGCGAGGGAAGTAATAAACCCAATATTTAACAGTCCCGTGCCTGGTGGCAGCGAGCCAGCACTAACTACCTCGGCCAATTAACATGCAAGAACAGCTCTAACTGGCTTTTAGACGGGCACTTGGCAATGTGTTCCCTGTCAAGATCTCCCGGCTCCGTGTCCCCGGTGATTTGGGAGCCGTGCAGGAACAGCACGGCACCTGACATTTTGGCGGGTGGTGAACAACTGTTTGACAGCTCTTGCAGTAGCTGTCAAAGCCACCAGATTCCTCCCTTCCCGCAGCAGCTGCCAGAGGGGCTGTGCTCACTCACGTGCTTCACTCATGGAGTTAAAAGGAAGCACCAGGATGGAGATGGGAATGACCAAATTGTCCCGCCTCGAGGGGCATTACAGGCCCAGAAGAGCTTGCTCAGTTGAGCTGCTCTGAAAGGAGCTTACCAGGGTCTGCTTCTTTCTCCTCGGACTTTGCAGCCTCCTCTGCTTTCCTGGGGAGCTGGAGCTGTGACTTGTCCCGCTCAGCAGCCTCGGCAGGGTCACCATCCAGCACGGCCATCTGTGCCTTGGCTTCCAGCTTGGCTTCCCCTGGCCCCAGATCCTTGTAGGGCGGCCTTCCTCCCTGCTGCACTGCTGCCTCTGGGACCTTCTCCAGATTTGGGACGGGCCCACCAGTCCCTCCCCGCTGCTGGTTCTCGGCAACCACTTCCTTCCCTTGTTTTGGGTCCAGTGCCTCCTTCTGGGGCTTCAGCCTGGCTGGCTCCTCCAGCAGACGGTCCTTGGCTCCTCCGGGAGCCGCTTTGTTCTCGCTGGATTCCTCCCGCTCCCGCCCCATGTCCACGACCACCTCATCATGTGGGACTGGGGGCTCGTGGCGATGAGCCTCCCCCACGGGCAGGGCAATCCCTGGGGGAACAGGCAGGGTCAGAGGCAGCAGGTTCCCAGTACACCCAGTACACCCAGTACACCCAGCTCCACGCTGCCCTTGTCCAGCCCTGCCTTCTCTCCCTCAT